CCTTTTGCTAATAATTATTTTAGTTATTAACAATGTGTGGTTTTAAATGTTTAAATAATTGTGTGTAGGTTTTATAAATATTCTGTATATATTTATGTACATTAATAGTAAGTTTAAATAAGTTTATTGTAATTATTCATTAAGTAATATAATATTTTGTGTGAACTAACCTACAAATTGTTTGCACATTTATAATTAATATAATAATAGATCAAACTTGTTTAAATGATTTCATAATTATTTATTATACTTAATTATTAATACTGATTTTATTTATTATATTAATGCATGTTATATTTATAGCAGTATTTAAAAAGTTCAATTTCAACTTTTTGTATGGTTAGGTTAGTCCATCTAACCTACAAATTGTTTGCACAATTTAGAATAACTTAATAATATATTATTATTTCAAGTAATAATTATATATATATATATATATATATATTATTTATGTCTGTTGTCAATACTATTTTCTTATCTTTAGGTTTCAAGACTTCCTTGATGCATTTACTTCAATGATTTAGTTCCTCTAAGTATATCGATGAAATAGTTTAATACAAATTGATTACCAAAGATTAGGAAAAGAAATAATAAATAACTAATGACTTCTGTACAATCTGATGAACTTGTTGAGGAAACAAGTTGTAAACTTTTAGTCATTGACAGACGGTGAGTTTAGCTGCTTTTATCAAATTATGTATTTTACAATAAGAATAGTAAATTCTTGTTTGCCCCGAGACATGTTCATGGTGTTAAAGCACCACTAATCAATGATGGTAATTATACTCATTATCATTTCTTTACCACTAATCACTTTTATTTATTCACTTTTAGTTAAAAATTGGATTGGTATGAGATAATAAATAAATGGATAAAAACTATTTTATTATAAGAATGATGTTATTGAGAAGATATATGCATTAATTTTTGTTGGTTACTTTTTTATGCATTCGCTGATGGTAAATTTAGAAGTTTTGCTAACAATGCATACTTTATAAATTTTGTATATATATATATATATATATATATATGAACAATTTTATAATTTATATAAAGAGGTATATATTGTTATGCACCACTGCTATAATTTGATTATATATTGGACTTCACTGAAATTATAAGTTCTGGTACATTCAGCCATCAGAAATATTACACATGGTGAGAAATAGATCAAGCTTATTTTCACAGTCAATCGAGGAATTTTTTCATACAAACACATTTTACTAAACAGCATTTTAATACTTGAATGAAGCATACTGAGCTAACCTAAGCATACTGAGTCAGATTAGAATTAACAAGATATCAAATAATTCAGTCAGGTTTCAGCTTTTGCATTCTATCAACTTTGTCTTATATTTTATCAACCAATTTATGTAATAAGAAAGTAATTACAGATTAATGTGAGAAAAAGTACAAGTTTTTTAACATTTGCTGGCAACTATTGTGAAAGTTTTTTTATTGTGATAGTATCTTAATAAATTTTACAACAATATATACAACATATATGTACATATATACAACTAATTAATAATAATAAAACGATAATAGGAATAATAAACAAGGTATGGGAAGAAAATCTTTTATTTTATGGTGCTCTCATACCATGGGTCTGCCGGACAGACAACTATTTATTATTATTCATATATACAACTGGTATTTGTATTAATCAGTATTATTCTAAAGATATGAAATGACATTGATTTTATTTTACAAATATCTGTTTGTTGATTATATTTTACTATTATTATTGTGCCATGGTCATTAAATAAAAAAAATCTTATCTGAATCATTTTCTCCTGTGATTTGTACTTATATCACAATTTATTATTTTTAGGCAGTTTTATATATATATAATATATATATATATATATAAATATATATATATGTATATATATGTATATATATGTATATATATATATATATATATATATATATCTATATTAAATTTTTTATAATTATCTATATATATATATATATATATATATATATATATATATATAAATTATTTTTGTGGTATTTTATTTCAGATTCTTTTGAAGCTTTGGCTATCGATGTATATAGTTTCTAACCATTCCATCAAAAGTCGATAATTAGTTAATTAATTAATATATAAATTGTAAGGATGTCATACAAGCATAAACAAATAACGAGTACCGAGGATATTAAACAAGAAGGTAATTATATTTTTAATATATATTTAAATATTACTATTCAAAAAATTGAGAGAGACAATAAATAGTATTCTTTTTGAAGAAAATATTGAATATGTAAAATTTATGTTGAGAAATTATCAATTATAGTATTTGTTGTAACGATAGATTAGAAATATTGAAGTATATTATACTTCAATAACTATATATAACTATAACTAAAATTATAGCTATATAACTATAACTAAAATTATAGCATTGTAGATCAACTCAGGTAATGTTTAGTTTCTAATCATCTTACTTCTAAGTAAAAATATAATAATTTTTTTTATAACATACCATTTTGTGGGAGGACATATCAATTTTATTATTTGTTGTTATAGTAAGCATATCATAGTATTACATACTCTAATATGAATAATTACATTTGAATAAACTATTATCATTGCATATTAGATTAACATGAACTTTATCTATACATTTAATATAGATGACGGGACTAATTTAATGTTATGTTTGTGAAATGTATCTCAGATCTTTATGAGAAAACTTATCCATTTTAGTATTTATTTTCAAAGTAGACATATTAATTTATAAAGCATTCAAATTACAGTAACCTACTAGAATTCTTTTTATTTTAAAAAAAATCTTCAATGACAAGATTTACATCGAAGCTAGTTTAGACATAAATCTCATATTTTTATTAGAAATCATGTTAATTTTAGCATTTGTTATTATACTATGCTTATTAAAGTATAACATATTGAAATTACAATATTGTGGTATTGTTATTACAATACAACAATATTGTTGTTACAATATTGGCAATGTTTTTATTAATTTTATTATTAATTAATTTTATTTTACATTTATCTTACTTCTAAATGAAAAACATGATACTTTTTTTTAGAAAAGTCTATATCTCTGAATTAACACCTTGTTTTTAGCATTGATTATTTTAAAATCGCAACATTTTAATCTAGAATGAACAGAAATATATTTAATAGTTTTTTTAATACATTCCTTTTTTATTTTATGAACTTTACATGTTCATAACTGAACTGGAAACAACTTCTTCCATGTAATTTTACATATCTGTATTTTTGTGGGAACAACACATATTGATTTTAGTATTTGTTATTACATTATTGAAGTAGAACATAATAAAATTACAGCATCGATCAACAAACTTTTTTACTGAGGGTAATATTCATTTAACATTTAATTTATCTAATTATCACATAAAAATTGAGGTACTTTTTGGAAAAAAAATCTGAATATCTCTAGACTTTCTCAAAAAACGCATAAGGTTTAGTATCTTTTGCTAGAATAGATATATTGGGTATAACTTATATAAATTGCAGCATTTTACTACAATTCCTTGTATTTAAATCAAATACAAATCAATTGTGATTATGCACTTTAGATATGTTATACACAATACATCTATTCTAGCAACAAATACTGAAACTGAAGCGTTTTTTAAGAATGTCAATAGATATTCAGAGTTTTTTTTAATAAGTACCTCAATTTTCATATGATAGTTAAATAAATTAAATGTTAAATAAATAATACCTTCAGTCACTAACTTTATAATCAAATCAAAATAATCAATGTTCTTTGCTTAGAAAATTATTATCTGATAATTTTATTTATTGATTTTAGTATTTGTTGTTATAATAGACATATTAAAATATAACATATCCAAATTACTACATTCTACATATATTTCTTGCATTTAAAAAAAATACTCTATCTTTATGCACAAAAAACTAGTATTATGTAGTTTATTTAAAAAATATTAATATTTCAATTTTTTGAGAGAAATTTTATATATCTTAGCATTTGTTATTATTAGTATTTAATATACATATTAAAATATTACATGTCCAAATTACAGTGTTCTACAAAATATGTTTAATTTTGAATTGAATATTTTAATTTTATTTGTAATTTCAATATATAATGTGTTGCAAAACTGATCTTTATTCAGAAACTTATAAATATCTCAATTTTTTGTTAGAACCCATCAATTTTAGTCTTAACAAATAGTTAAGACTATTATAACAGTTTTATTGAACTGAAACATATTCTCATTTTAGTATTACTATGAATCTTTATATTTAAAAAAAAAGAATCCAAAAGATTTTCAATGCTGCTGATTTGATATTAATATTATTTGATGCTCTTTATCAGAAAATTGTTGATATCTTGAATTTTTGTAACAAAACTTATCAATTTTAGTATTTGTTGTTATAATAGACATATTAAAATATAACATATTCAAATTACAACATTACAAATTACAAATTACAACAACATTCTACTACAACTCTTAATGTTAGTGTTTTTATAAAATATTTTATCTAGACGTACCAATAATATTACTCTTTAATATCTTTGAACTGATGTTCTTCCTTCAGAAAATTATTAATATTCTTATAATTTTCTAAAAAAAATATCGATTTTAGTATTTGTTATTAAAATAGACATTTTAAAGTATAACATATTCAAATTAGAACATCCTACAACAGTGCTTTGTATTTAAAAAAAAATATTTAAACCATCATTAATTTTATACACTAATTGACTAATACCTATGTTTTTCTTCCAGTAATGGAGCCTCCTGACAAAAAACCAAAACTTTCCCTGACCCTGGCAGTATCCTCAATCCTGGCAGACGAGTATACAAACTCACCAGCTCTTGTAGAAGTTTTAATTGGCCGAATAAATGACAAAAAACAAATATCTCGTTACATAAAAGACTTAAATGAAAAACTTCCTCTGACATCACTGCAGCATCTCAAAAGATGCCACAAGCAGAAGATAATTATCCAAAAATGTTCTGAGATGAATGATGTACCAGTGTTGAAGTATTTGAAGGATTTAGGGATTGATGTTAAGGACTTGGATGGTGTTTTTGAGAAAAGAAGAGTTCCTGCATCCAGTGTTAAGTTAAAATGGCAGTTTGATGAAATGAATCAAATCTGGCCTTTAAATTTTCATCCTGATAAAACCATGGAACAAATGTACAACAACCAAATGTTTACTGACCAAGAGTTGCAAAGACACCAGGAGTATCTGCAACTGGCTTTGAGGTTAAGCCAGGAAAACATTACCAAAATCCTGCAAGACAAATATATCACCACCAGTCCTCAATCCAAGGCAGCACCAAGTATATTCCAGAAGTACCAGAAAAATCCAGAAACTTGCCAGGAGACTTTTACCAATCGTGGTGCACTTGCAGTTGATCCTGCCATCGATTCCATTGTTGCTGTTGGATATGATTTGAGGCAATTGCATCCTGCACAGCATTGTTGTCTGGTTCTGGTTGATAATGTTGCCAAGGGACAGAATGGAGGTGCTTGGAGTGGTGGGATGTTTGAAACAGGTGAATAGATGATAATTGATTTATTTTCATTCTTGTTTAATATTTATTGAAAAAGACCTACATGTCATAAAAAAGCCAACTAAATTTTCTGAAGTAAAACTTCTTTAAGCTTGTTTGCTAAAATATTACCTAACACATTTCAATTATTATTTTCAATAAAATTTAACATTATAATATTTATTGCAATAAAAATTTGGTAAGTTTTTGATAATACCTTTTTATTTACATAATGTTTTTTTTATACCTCAAAAGCAACAAAAGATACAACTAACAATTGTATTGAAATTTGAAGGAAAACTTCATTAGACTTAAATTCAAAATAAACTAAGTGCAAAGGTGAAATTATAAAATTTTTTAAAAACTTTTTTCCTTTTGTTTGATACATCTTTTTTCTATCTCGGATTTTTAGGACAACTTTGTTAAAATTTTAAATATCTGTAATATTTGTGAAGAACTTATCAATTTTAGTATTTGTAACGACAATATACATATTTAAGTATAACATATTAAAATTATAGTATTCTGGGACAAGTAGAGCCATTATATTTTTTTTAAATATTATGCCTTATTTTAAATAATCAATATTATATCTAGCATTTTTGTAGGTGAATATTTGTTATAATACTAAATATCCGAAATATTTTTGAGAAAACTTACCAATTTTAGTATTGGTAATTATAGCAGACATACTAAAGTACAACATACTTAAATTGCAGTATCATATGACATATAATTGGCATCTTCATCCTTTCCTTTGATATATCTATTTTCTAACTAGCATCTTTAATAAAATTTTAAATATCTGTAATATTTGTGAGAAAACTCATCATGTTTAGTATTTGTAACAACAGTAGACATGTTTAAGTATAGCATACTTTAATTATAGTATTCTGGAGTAAGTAGAACTATTATAATACTTTTTTAAAGGATTGTAACTTTACATTTGTAAATCTATTTCACACCTAGGATTTTTAGGTACTTTTTGGTTATACTTAATACTAAATATCTGAAATATTTTAGAGAAAACTTATCAATTTCAGTATCAGTAACTATAGCAGACATACTAAAGTATAACATACTTAAATTACAGTATCATATGACATATATAATTGGCATCTTCATTCTTTACTTTGATAAATCTATTTTCTAACTATGATCTAATAAAATTTTGCTATAATTGTAAATATCTGTAATATTTGTGAGAAAACTCATCATGTTTAGTATTTGTAACTACAGTAGACATATTTAGATATAACATATTTGAATTATAGTATTCTGGAGCAAGTAGAACTATTATAATACTTTTTTAAAGGATTGTAACTTTACATTTGTAAATCTATTTTACACCTAGGATTTTTAGGTACTTTTTGGTTATAATACTATAAATATCTGAAATATTTTAGAGAAAACTTATCAAATTTAGTATCGGTAACTATAGCAGACATACTAAAGTATAACATACTTAAATTATAGCTTCATACTGGTATCTTCAACTATTTTGCTTTGTGATCCAAAGATTAATGAATTTATGAAAAGTTTAATGAAATTTCATACCTGTAATTCTTATTGTTATGACAGATGTACCAAATCAATGTAATTGTAGTAAGTTTTAAATTGAATTGGGATTTGCAATATCAAGAAATCTGAAAGGCTGAATCATGTTTAGATTTGGGCATAGATAGTTTTGCACACTTCTAATCACTTAGATATTGTTTATACTAAAAATTTCCTAAAAATCATTCATATAGCAAAACTATTTTTTTTCGGGTCAGCAGTAGTATATAGTATATATATAATATATATTTATTTTATTATATTATATATATATATATATATATATATACATATATATATATATACATATATATTTATTTATTTAATTATATATTTATTTATTTATTTCAGATCCTACCGCCGATTTAAAGTCTGAATCAATTAAAGAAGATATGGACGATGACCTCAACACTAAAGGAGTGTCTGAGTGTTTTAAAAAATTAATATTAACCGATAACTGCCAATTCAAAATTGGTTCTAGGCCTGTTATTGCACCAAAACAAAACTCAGGTAAATATATTAACACACAAGCATTAACTATATGTTACTAGTCCTTTCATGATTGAAGTGAAACTTCTGATGTGAATTTGAACAAGGTGTTGTAATAGCCTTGAGAGTGTTGTAGATTGTCTAAGAGTGTTTTGGAGTGATATGTTTGACTTGTAGTTTGTCTGAGAGTGTCATCGGGTGTCCGAGAGTGTTGTTGGGTGTATGAGAGACTAGTATATTGAGAGTGTTGTAGATGGTATGAGTCTTTTTTAATTGTCTGAGAGTGTTGAAGATTATCCGAAAGTGTTGTAGGTTGTTTGAGAGATTATCTGACAGTGATTTGTGGATTGTGTGAAAGTATTGTGATTATCTGAGAGTGTCATCGAGTGTCTGAGAGTGTTGAGTGATGTATGAGAGAATAGCAGTTTATTTGAGAGTGTTGTAGATGGTTTGAGAGTGTTGTAGATTACCTGAGAGTGTTATGTGTCTGAGAGTATTGTAAATTGTCAGACAGTTAGGTAGACAGTTGTCTGGCGGTGTAATTGTATGTCTGAATGTGTTGTGATTGTACGAGAGTGTTGTGGATTATCTGAGAGTGTCATTGAGTGTCTGAGAGTGTTGATGGATGCATGAGAGAATAGTAGATTATTAGAGAGTATGGTAGATGGCTTTGAGAGTGTTGTAGATTACCTGAGAGTATTACATGTCTGAGAGTGTTGTGGATTGTCTGATAGTTAGGTAGACAATTGCAGGTTACCTAACAGTGTTGTAAATTATATTAGAGTGCCTTCGAGTATCCAATAGTGTCATTGGCTGTCTGAGAGTGTTGTGGTATGATGATAAGAATTGTAGGTTGTCTGGGAGATTATCCGAAAGTGATTTTGTGTGTCCTGAGTGTGTTCTAGATTGTGTCACAGTGTAGTGCATTATTGGTAATTGTATATAATGTTGTTGAATTGTCTGAGAGTGTGGGAGTATTGTAGATTGTAGAGTCTTGTGGATTGTCTGAAACTGTGTTGTCTGAGAGTGTTGTGGATTTTCTAAGAGTATTGTAGATTAACTCAAAGGATATTATCTGAGAGTGTTGTAGATTGTCTAAAAGTATTGTAGATTATCTCAGAGTATTGTTGGATGTCTGAGAGGTGTTGAAGATTATTTGAGAGGGTTGTCAACTGTCTGAGAGTCTTGTGGATTGTCTAAAACTATTGTAGGTTGTCTAAGAGTGTTGTGGGTTTTCTAAGAGTATTGTAGATTAACTCAGAATGTTGTTTATTATCTGAGAGTGTTGTAGATTGTCTAAGAGTATTGTAGATTGTCTGAGAGTGGTATAGATTATTTCCGAGTATTGTTTAGTTTTTGAGAGTGTTGTGGATTTTCTGAAATATTGTACTATTGTACATTATCTAATAGTTGTAGATTACCTCAGAGTGTTCGAGATGTTTATAATTTGTATAAGAGAAAAGTACTCGAACTTTATAGATTTAAGTGGTAAATTATAAGTTTTAAAATATTATAAAATTAGTTAGGTGTGTTCTAGATTATTGCAATTTTGATATGCTAAACTTTAATATGTCTACTATGATGACAAATACTAAAATCGATGTGTTTGCTCAGAAATATTTGAGATATTTACTTATTTATAATAAAAGTACCTAAAATCATATATCTAGATAAAGAATATACATAGATTGAAACATTGCTAAAATAGTTCTGTTACTTTCAGAATATTGTAAGTTCAGTATGTTATTCTTTAAAATGTCTACTACAATGACAAATACTAAAATCGATATGTTTGCTCACAAATATTGGAAATATTTCTAGTTTTAAGATAAAAGTACCTAAAATCATACAACTGAATAAGGAATATAGTTTGAAAAATTGCTAAAATAGTTCTGTTACTTTCAGAATATTGCAATTTCAGTATGTTAGACTTTAAAATGTCTACTATGATGACAAATACTAAAATTGATGTGCTTTCTTACAAACATTCGAGATATTTTCTTATTTGTAATAAAAGTACCTCAAGTCGTAGATCTCGATAAAGAACGTCCTTTGAAAAATTGCTTAAATAGTTCTGTTACTTCTAGAATATTGCAATTTTAGTATGTTATACTTTAATATGTTTACTATGTCAACAAATACTAAAATCGATGTGTTTGCTCAGAAATATGTCAGAGTGTTGTACGATTGTTTGAGAGTGTTGTATGATTGTCTGAGAGTGTTGTAGATCATCCGAAAGTGTTGAAGGTTGTCTGAGAGATTATCTGTCAGTGATCTTGTGTGTCTGAGTATGTTTTAGATTGTCTAAGACTGTTGTAGATTATTACAGAGTATTGTTGGGTTTCTGAGAGGGTTGCAGATTGTCTGAAAGTGTTGTGGATTATCTGAGAGTGTCGCTTGTCTAAAATTGTTGTTGGTTGCCTGAGAATGTTGTGGATTATCAAAGTGCATTATAATTTAACTAACTTATTATTTTATATTATCTGAGAATGTTTTATATTGTCTGAGAGTGTTTTATATTGTCTGAGGTTGTTGTAGATTGTCGGAGAATGTTGTTCAAAGTTTTGTAGTTTGTCTAAGAGTTTATCTGACAGTGATGTTGTGTGTCTGAGTATCTAGAAGTGATGTGGATTATCCAAGAGGGTTGTAAATTATATCATAGTGTTCTTGAGTGTCTGAGAGTGTTGTTGATTATGTATGCATGACATAGGTTGTCTGAGTGTATTATTGTCAGCTTTATTGGCTGTCTGAGAGTATTGTAGATTATTTGATATTGCTGGTGACTGTCTGAAAATATTGTAAACTGACTG